AGTTTCTCCAAGACAAGTAGGACTAGGGGATTTTCCTGATTCAACGAGTTCAAGCACAGACGCTAAACAAGCATATTCTACTCTACCGTTTTCAAATAAAATCTTGCTTAACATGCAAAAAATATAAGCCCTTCTACGGTATACATGATAAGAATCAAAGACAAGACGATTGAAATACAAATTTGCAAGCTTTTCTAGATCTACTTCATTTCCACAAACAATTTTATTTAAATCAGGATCTGTCATATTCAATTGACGTTCAAAATCTTGGTAATAATATTCACGTAGAGTGGGAATTTCAATGAGATTTTTAGCAGGAAAGCCAAAGATAGCACCAAATTCCTCCGCCGGAAGACGAATTTCATTACAATCAAACTTGAAACAATGAGTTTTAGGACTCTAATAATCTAAGGTTGCCCTCAGAAAATCATGTTCAATTTCTACATGCCTTAAGGCTAATAAACCTCTGACATGAACAATTCTAGGTCTCTTTTATCTGCATTAGTCAAAGAATAAGACCATTCACGCAATGTATTATCAAAATTCTAAGACATTATTATTGAAATATGAAATTCTAATTATTTTATGTTCCGTAATTATGCATATCACGAATAAACTAGTCATATTTTATAGAAATAACGCTCAAAAACATGAAAAATATATCCTTTTATACGCGCAAAGTACACCGCTGCAGCATACGCACACCGTAACACGGGAAATCCCACCGTGTCAAGGGAAAATGTGTCGTGACACGAAAACTTTTGCTGTGACACGGTATACCCTGTCGTATCACGACACTCACACGTTTTTATATTTTTATCCGGATTTTTATTGTTTTCCCTTCACTTCCTATCTTCCAATCTAGTTTTTCGAGAGTTTTATTCCTAATAAGATTCTCCCTTTATTTTATTTTTTTTTTTACATTTATTGTTTTATTTTTATCTTTTTGTGGAAGTTGTAGACCTTGTCACATTTTTATTTTCTTTTTCTTTTACGGAAGTTAGAAAACTTGTCCCATTTTATTTTTATTTCTTTTGGCGAAGTTGCAAAATTTATCCCATTTTTAACTTTATTTTTATCTTTATTTTATTTTGGGGAAGTTGTAAAACTAGTCCCATTTTTTTTTATTTTCTTTTTTTTGGGGAAGGTCGGTATCCTCCACTTACGAAAATAACATTTTTTTTGCGTCATTAATAACTACACAATCACACACTATGAGTCTCAAACACACACTAATACGCACACTAATAATTTCAAATGCATAAAGTGTGAATAAATTATACAAAGCGAGTCACGATACATAAATAGTGTCAAGTGTCATAAATCAAAGTACATAATAAAAGCCCTCGGTCAAAACACTCCAGAACCAAAAGAGCTAGGATTAGTGTCATCTCGAGCCTGCGAATACGGGAACGGCGGATCTAAGAGTCCATCCATCAACCGGGTACGAGGAGTAGTTTCCCTACTAGTCCCCATATCTCCAGTGGAAGACAATCTCAAAGCAAGACATGTTCAGTTGGTAAGCGGTGTAGGCTGACTCAAAGAGGTAGGAAGCATCAGAGGAGGCATCATCCTAGACAATGGAACTGAAAATCAGACCTGCACCGGTGGAGGTTGCGTCCCAGACAATGGAACTAAGTATAAACCCTGTCCACGAGGGTAATGACTGGCCTAAAATCAGGCTGTGAAGACTGGAATGGCTGAGAAGATGAAGGGCGCTGCCACTGAGCCTGAAAGTGCTGGAATGACTGAGAATATTGAGGCTGCTGCCACAAAGCCTCCTTAAATGGCTGAGAAGGGTAAGGCTACGGCTGAGTCTGAAACCCTTGAAGTAGCTGAGATGTCGAGGGCTGCTGCCACTAACACTGAGAATGTCGACGAACCTCAAGAGATCGTCTTAGGTGACTAGGCTCCCCCTCGTCAAAGTCTCTATGCCTCAAGCGCGAGCGAGACCTCCGTCGCTCCCGAAAGACACAAAATGAAAAGATGTCAATAGTGCAAGATAGAACTAATGGTAAATATGTGAAAATAGGTGAATATATCTCGAGAACATCAACTGAACCACTCCCACAACTCGTATCATGTCGTAGCTTGATGACAAAGTACATCAAAGCTATAACCAACTTCATAAATCCCATCATGCCCTAGTGCGTAGGCTGAAAATAAAAAAATTAGTAACAAGCAATATTAACAGGGATGAATAATGTGTCAAAAAGCTTACCGGCTCAAACTCATCAGGCACAGACTCCTGCGCCTGTCTAAAGCCCTTCGGTGCGTTAGCAATATGATCCTCAACAATACTGATTAGCCCCGGTAACGGACAGATTAAGGCGGGACCTCAACCTTCCCCATACGGCTTACAGTCGTCTGGAAACATGATCGAATATTGAGGTTATTCGACGATTTAAACAGAGACTAGCAACAAAATTCGCAAAGAAAATCGCACCTTGGGAAGACGGGGCGGAGGAGCCAAGAAAGGAAGCAAGTCCTTTAAATAATCACCCTGCATATGCACGAGCTCATGCCAAGGAAATGTATAGCGCTCCCCACTGTCCAGCAACTCCCCAAGAAAACGTGAGTCTAGCATCGACTCTTTTGGAGGTAAAGGCACCACAAAGCGGTCAGCGTTGTGCTTACGAACCACATGCTCTTCAAGATTCCAAACAAAGTATGCTTTTCTAAAGAAAATAGTAACGTACGCCGAAATCTCCAAGGCCTCGGAGATCGGTCATCCCTGCCCAAAGCCGATACTAGATCTCTACAGCAACCTGGAAACCATAAAAAAATTGCAATGAATGCCGAAAAATAACATCAAAGTAGTGAATAATATGTTGTGAAATCGATTCTTACGCCAACAGAAGAGGTGCCTCGACGCAGCAGCCCTCGCAGTGTAGATACGGACTCCACTCGTGACTCGCCTCGGTCATGCCAGATGGCTCCAACAGGGAAATCATGGACCACTGTGCGACGCTGTCGAGGGGCCAATCCCGGAAATTTCTCATAGAACCACAGCTGCAAAGAAGTAATCTAAATCACATGATTTTAATTGTTAAAACAAGATAAGAAGAAGAATGATCGTCACCTATACGACCCTCCATAAACCGTAGACAGCAACAGGGGCCTGGTTATTCAGCTGCCTGCAGCCATGAAGTAGCGACGAGAGTATATCAGCATATCCAACACTAGCCCAACTATAGGATCCTATCTCGTCGATCCTGACCAAAGGCCATAGGTAGCAAACGAGGGCATGTAAACTCCTGTCGTGAAAAAGAGTATTTAAAATGAGAATCAAGATAAAGATCCGCACTCGCTGCTCATGTGTCATGGACAAGAACAGAAGCCAACTCTGATCGCCCACTCCTAGGACCACCGCGAGGCACCGGTCAGTCCTTATATGCTGAACGACAGGACCTAACAAATCTGCTACCTCAGCCGCCCCCCAAGTAAGGTGAGGAATCTGTCGTACAGCCCGCTCGGTGAAGCGTATACCACTGATCATGCTGAAATCAAGAGAGGTCACTGTCATCTTCCCCCAAGCAAAGTTGAAAGTTTTGCTAGTACCCCAAAAATACTCTAACAATGCTCAAACAGTCGTCGAACCACAACCTTGGGGGCTGCGAAATCCTACGGTTGCTGAATAAAAATCTCCTAAAACGGAAAACTCCCATAAGGCCTTAGTGACAGGATCCCCATGATAATCCTGTACAGCTAGGGAATCAAATCTCCAGCTCCTGATCCATGATGGCGAAGCATACTGTCAACTACGTCGGTGAGTGGACGGTGAGAAATATGGTTCTCACGACAGAAAACCAACTCATCTGGTTTCCACACAGGTGGAGTCCACCAACCCCTACCCGTAGAAGGATGAGGCTCAGTCTCCAAGGCGTCGTCGTCTATTCCCTCGGGAACTGTGGGAGTGTCCTCTCAAAAAGCTCGATGCCGGCCATGAGTAGAAATGTCGTGATCCCGTTGTCTAGGCATGCTATTACATTAAAAAAAATAATCTAAATACTTAGCATCATTTCCTAGGTTATTTAGTTATTTATTCAAAAACGGCTTAACGGCTACCTCAAGTTGCATTTTCTGTTATACGTAAAATTTTTACCACAAGGCTAAAAATTAGCGAAATAATATAATTATTTCTAGTAATTAGTTTCTCCATGACGAACTAATACTACAGTTCTCCTAAATTGCAAGATACTATGTTCTCCATGACAATATAGTATATACACAAAATAGAGCATGTTTTGAAATTGCACAAAAACAATAGATCGGCACATCATGACATATTTTACAAGACCTACAACCAATATATCATCATTTCAAGTGCAAAGAAATAACATGAACAACCAAAACACCATTTCACATACAAGTTGTAATACCCGAGATTTTAAAACATGATTTATTATACTCTAATCTATATTATAAGTTTGATTAAGTTTTAATCTCTTTTTTAACCAGTAAGAATGTTGTAGTCTTAACTATTATTTTAAGATTATATTATTCTGGAAGCAAATTTTTTTTAAGAAAAATAATTTATTCTAAAATTTAATGCGGGTAAAATGATATTTTTATGTTTGGTAAAATATTTAAAGTTTTGCATCAAAAACTATATTTTTACAGACAGTAAAATTACAAACATGCTCTGCTCGCCAAAAGAGACGAAACCCACCTCTTGTTTCTTCATATACCTCGCGGTTAAGAAATTGATGATACAAAGTCTAATTTTCCTTCTTTAATAATTGGTTGCTCATAACCCCATGATTATCACAATAGCAATTTGATTTTATCATCATTATTTTCTTAATGTTCTAGCAATAATACTCCACAACGGAATAAGAAGACAAAACCCACCGCTTCCCTACACCCCTTTATTCTTCATGGTTAAATTATGAAGACCAAAGTCAATTTTGCTTGTTCTTTTTACTTGTTTCTTAATTTAGGCTAACCAATCAAAGTTGATTTGATTATGCTTAGCTCAATATCGAGCTTATCTCACTCCTTAACGGCTAAGAATTGATGACTCAAAGTCACATTTTGCTCCCTTTTAATTGGTTGTCGTCTAATACTCAAACTTATCACTTTAGCAAACTTCTTATGATTCGTACCCTTAATTTCTTTCAAGTTCCTGGAATAATAATACTCCATATATAGTTAACGTATCACCGTACATGCATAACTACCGCGGCTATCAGAGTTCTTCCCTTTGCTTGAAATGGTTGTGGTCATCTCTTTCCTTGCCACCAAGCTCACGCACCGCAGCCACGTACTCTTCTCCTTCCTCCATTCATGGCATGCTTGGTGAAACTAAGAATGGTCTTTGAGACTACTCTGTACACGTGAAACCAAAGTGAGCTTATTACATCTTTTATTTGCTCTTAATTATGGGTATAAGTTGACTTTTATGTTTGGAAAGCATGCAACTCTTGTTTTTCTTATTTAATGATTATGTATTACTAGCTTTGTTTTAAACTTGATTTTCTTACTGATGATGAATCATAGTAGTATTTGCTTTTTATATGATCATAGTATCATATATGTAATCACGAACTAAAATATAAACCCATTTCTAATAAAATAAGTATTTGACTATTTGTGTTGTTTTCATACTAAGTAATTGAATTATTTATAATTTTAAACTCTATTTTTTTACTAGTATGAATAGTAGTAGCATCTATTTTAAAAGTAGTGCTTATTCTACTCTAAAGAAGCTAATACTTGTTTTATTCTTTGAAAATAGGTTTATACTTGTTTTATCAAAGGTTTTGAATTGAGAGGTTACTAATGAATATTTATTATTATTTGGTATGATGGAATGAGTCATGGTAATGAGGAATTAATAATGGAGGTTGAGAGTTCAGATGATAAATATGGAAAAATAAGTGAGATGATGATTAAGTATGATCAAATGAGGTAATCATTATGTCTAGCAATTGTGTCTAGTCATGTATATGTAACTATTATATATGTCTAGCAACTATGTTTAGTCTCATATGTGTGTCAATTATGTCTGTTTATTGTGAATGCACGTGTGTATGTCTGTATGATATGCTTGACATGATACGATTTAAAAGTGTGTTATGTACAAATGACATGACATTACATGACCTTTTATATCCATGCATTGTATATATTTTTAATGACTTATGATATGATAAACATGTTTATTGATGTATTTTAGCATTATGATTTGTATTAATGATTTTATATATACAATGTTCAATTGATTTGTAGGTCTCCCGAAAGTATGTTAATAATCAACGAATAACTTATTATAAGATAAATAACTTAATAAATGAAAGTGAAAGACCTGGCCCGTCTAGCAGTATATGTTATGTTTCGGTCATGCAATGCATGTACCCATGGGGCACCAACCCAACTATGTCGAGCACCTGCTCTATGTTATGGGCACCGGCCCATCGCGGAAGACGTTCCGCCATGTCATACTGTCCAACGACTAGCATTTCCACCAAAAAGATTACGAATTCCTGAATTATATTAAAGGACTTATGAGAACTCACAAGGATACTCTATTGATGAGTAATATAATATGTTGATATGTACGATAGTTTATATAGATGTCTTACCATCATACAAGTTGATAAGAATGCTATGAACGACAGGTTTTTCTAGTTATTTTGTTAATTATAAATTATGTGTATGTGATCTGTTTTGCTAATGTCCCTGTTAAGTTTAATGATAATGATTATTTTATTCAATTAAGTGTTACGAATGAATGATTATGAAATGTGCCAATATGCTATTAATTTTTATGAAGTACACAGTTGTTCTGAAATTATTTAATATGATACAATAGATGTAACTTTTGTCGGCATTGGAAAGTGAACTGAACGTGGAAAATAGGCGAGTTACAGGTGGAGGAAAGTATGTTAATAAAAGGGGGAAACATTCCCACACGAATGAAAGTTATGTTATGTCCAAAACCTGTAATTACCTATGATCTTACGTAAAGGGAATGATCCTTGCCGACACAGCTTTTAAAAAAATAATGATGTAGATTATTTCTGAACAACTTTGTATGTATGATATATACTTAAATGATTTTGAAAGAAAAACTGCTTTTATAGGCTAGAGTAATGTTACTGAGTTTTCCACTCATTTTTGGAATTTCCTGTGTTTTGTTTGTTTTCTATTTTTATGGATAACTATGGGGATAATAATGACGGAGCTGAAGTTAATCAAAAGTAAATCATTAAAGGAGTTTACTTAGTTTAGGGATTATGGAATCAAGGTTTATTTATTATCGAACATCGAGAGCTGAGATAGATTGATTATTATTTTATTACAGTAAGGAAGATTGGAGTTGTATTTTTTATTGAATATTCTCCTTAAGGAGTATGTTCATTTGTGGGCCCATAACCCATAGGTGGTTATGAGATTATCTATATATATTTGATTTCGCTTTGTATGAAGAGTAAAGAATGGTTTATCTGTGGTTAATTAATTCCGCTGCGAATGACGAGTTAAGTACGGTCCGATGACGTCGATTAAAAGTCGAGGCGTTACAGTTTGGTATTAGAGCAAAACTCTGCCGAAAGTGCGGGTCGTAGACTTGCACTGCAAGAGTATAATCTTTGGGATACGGAAGTTGATTTTTAGGTTATTGAAGAGTATCTTTGAGAAATGAAATTAATTTGAGGTTATAATTTTTGGGACTTGGAAAATGATTAGTGGGACATGGAAGTCCATCTTTGGGATATGAATATGATTTGAGGTTAAGAACTTTGGGATATGAACTTGATTTGAGGTTTGAGTATCATACTTGTTATTAGATTTAAGTTAGAGGATTTAATTCATAAGTAATGTTATAATTTGATTTATGAGGTAATATTGGTTATAGTGATTCTAAGTTATGAATTGCCAAGTTTTGAGGACGAAACTCTTTATAAGGGTGTAAGGATGTAATACCGGAGATTTTAAAACATGATTTATTATACTCTAATCTATATTAAAAGCTTGATTAAGTTTTAATCTCTATTTTAACCAGTAAGAATGTTTTAGTCTTAACTTTTATTTTAAGATTATATAATTTGAAGCAAATTTTTTAAAAGGAAAGTAATTTATTCTAAAATTTATTGTGGGTAAAATGATATTTTTATGTTTGGTAAAATATTTAAAAATTTGCATCAAAACCTATTTTTTTACGAACAGTAAAATTACAAACATGATTTGCTCGCCAAAAGAGACGAAACCCACCTCTTGTTTCTTCATATCCCTCGCAGTTAAGAAATTGATGATACAAAGTCTAATTTTGCTTCTTTAATAATTGTATGCTCATAACCCCATGATTATCACAATAGCAATTTGATCTTATCATCATTATTTTCTTAATGTTCTAGCAATAATATGTAGGGTTTTAGGTACTCTAAGCGGAATTTCATGAATCTCATTCATACGCACCTAAACAGGATCTCATGCATATACAAATAAAGGATCACATAATAGTTTAGAATTAACCTTTGATACGTGAATTCCCAAGCTTTCTTCTACCTTCTTGCGGAGATTAGAGCCCCAGTTGTTGCTCCTCTAATATTGGTCCACAAGTGTAGATCGAACCTCCACCAATGCTAGTTGGACGGGAGAGATTAATCTCCTCTTCTATGGAGAACTTCTAACCGGTTGTAGAGAGAGAGGAAGGGAAAAATATTACTTTGTTTCTTTTGAGAGATGAACGTCTGTTCTATTTTTCCCCAAGCCCTTTATTATATATAATCATATTATCTAATTAGGGCAAGACTTATTCTTATCTTACTCCTTATGGTCAGTCATTCACTAAGCCCAACTTTTGGACTCGGTATTCATGTTCGACCTAACACTGTAACATGTGACCTCATAGGATCCATTTAGTTGGCATTCGTTTAACCCAATGATTAATATTGATCTCTAGCAAGACGTAAAGACGACCCAACTAAACGAATTTATTATCTCCATAATACGATCCATATTATATTAGTAATTGCACAAGAGTCGAGGACAGATTTCCTTCAATCTCCCTCTTGTCTGAGACAAGCGTGCAATCTTCAAATTCCTTAAGTCTCTTAGTGTCCAATTTGATAGTATGATTACATCTCTATGTCATCCATACTAGTGTTCAAATTATTTCTTGAAATCCGAGTTCGAATTGCTAAACAAATGATTATCTAGTAATCCATTTGAGCACGGCCATGCATTTCCAATCCTTACTCTTCAATAGGCCAAGACACCCATCCTATCTAACATAGGAGGACCTATTCAATCTTGTGGCAACCAAAACTCCCACTCAAATTTTAGCGCAACCCGAGTGTCGCCATTATAGTCCCCTTTTACGGCATGAAGTTTGACAACATCAAGGTTACACTAATCATTGAATTGAGTAGTGTTCCACTCATGTCTAAGGAATCCACTAATATAATTTGCGAAGTTTTTCAAAACTTCTAAGTAGGTCAGTTCAATCTGTATCAACCATACAAATGCATATAATTGACTGAACATCTCTATGTTCCCATAGCCCATGAAACTGCGCTATCAATCAATCTTATATGCTAATCCTCTTCAATAAGTCGTTTATGTCCAGTTTAACGACTTGGATTAGGAACTTAAATATTCCATGAATTAGTTCACTTATGGGGTTTCATTCATCAAATCACACATTTGACAAACCCATTGAAATTCATAAAATATTTTGGACATTTTATTTAATACTAAACCATGATTAAATAAGTATGAAACTTTGTTTCACATTGATAAACATAGGGAGAACACAATTGATAGTTTTGCAATTGTGTCCAATACACAATCAAAGCTATCTAATATGTTCAATTTCTATTGAACCTAATATGACTTTCATATTTAGGCTTCTGAAATAGTTTAGTTAACAGATTTTGAGACATTCTCATCCATATGAACTTTGCGACCTTTTCTTTTATGATAGTTTATCTCCATATACTTAGACGTTGCCTTTTGTTCTTCTCCAAGTACTTCAGGGAACTCTTAATTCTATAATTTCCAATATCACATATCAAAATTCGATTTAAAAATTGCATACATGCATCTAATGAGTATAATGCATAGCCTTTATGACGAATCCTTTGCAATTGCACAAGGAATGTCACTCACTCTCTGAATCTCATTAGTCTTTGCTTTGCACTGAGTCTTATGACGAATCCTTTGCAATTGCACAAGGAATGTCACTCATTCTCTAAATCTCATCAGTCTTTGCTTTGCACTGAGTCTTGATAAGCAATGTGCTATGCCACATGGGAGTGAAACCTCCTTTGGTGTTTTCATGCGTGAACGTAGAGAGAACCTCATCTATATAAGTTTCTCAATCAATTTCAATCCTCTTCCAAGACCAATCTCAATAAATCTTGATTCCCAAGATGTACTCATTTAAACCTTCAAGGTCTTTCATACAATAACAATTCATTAGCCATTACTTGATCTATTCAAGTATGGAAACATCGTATCTTGTAAGAAGTATGTCATCTACATACAAAACCAAGAAGACTACATAGCTCCCACTAAACTTCTTGTATGTACAAGCTTCTTCATTTATAAGACTATCAACCAATTTGATTAACTTAGTAAATCGAAGGTTTTGCTCCATGATGCTTATTTCAATCCACTAATGGACTTATGAAACTTACATGCATTTCTAGGACTTCCTGGTTCTTCAAAACGTTAATGTGTGTATCACATACACATTCCCTTTCATGAACAATTTCAGGAAAGTGTTTTGAACTCCATCAACCATATCACATAGAGTTGAAATCACTAGAAGAGTCTGAATAGATATAAGCAATATTAGCAACGAAAGATTTCACCATAGTCAATACTATGAATTCGATAAATCCTTTAGTGACTAATCAATGCTTGGAAAACATTTTTCCATCCTTGTCTAATCTTTGCATTCAATTGTTCTCTCCCAATTCATGCAAATCAACCAAGTGTCTCACACTCAATTTTTCAGACATGGAAACCTTTCAGATTTTCATTGTACTAAGCTATTTTGTGACTCGTCAAATCTTACATTCAAAAATCAATATTTTAGAATTTCTTAACCATCGAACTTATTTCTGTGGCTTAGATTTACTAGACTTTGTGGGTTTATGTGCAACAATTGAAAACTTATTTTCAATGAAGAACAACATAAGAAGGGTATACATTGAATGTGGCCCTTGACACATGGTTACGTATCCCATTACATTAATGAGACCACGTGTTGTTGTTTTTAACATGGTGTGAATCATGCTCAATTGTTAGTTCTCTCGAACACCTTCGAGACTTATACTCCCACTTGCCTTATCTCGAAAACCTTCGAGACTTATACTCCCACTTGTCTTATGAAAAAGGGCAAATTAGCATAGGGTATGTTGCTCTTCTCGACCTTTTTGAGAATTACTCCCACTTGCCTTTTAGAAATGACACCTTTTTTCAAAAAGGCACCAATTTAGAGCAACAAACAATTTGTCCTCAAAACATTTCGTGGTTGTAGTACCCTTGTACTAAGCTTTAGAATTCAACATTGCATTAAACAATTTAATACAAGTTTCTTATTCTTAAATTTGTAGAAAAACAAAATAAGAACTTCTCTCATCCATATCTTATATGATGTCTTATCTGCATTGTGATTTGACGCAATCCTAATTAGTGTAAAAAACTCATTTTAAAAGTGTATCCTTAGAACTATTATTTGGAAGATAGGTACAGTTCATCATGA